TATAATTTTACATATAAAATGACAGCGATCTTCATTTCATAGCCATCGTTGACGCCGTTTTTATTCGATCATACGGTATTTTAATAATAACTTGTAATAAACTACCTCCTTCGCCTAAATGGCCACAAAATTTACCATTTCAATTTTCATATGCCTTGAAAATGTTGTAACGTTTTTAGTTCGTTACATGTCTTTTTTATATATAATATATGATGTCTGGGCCTATCATCACCGGATTCCCTCTCGTTCAGGCCGGATAGTTTATTTGACGCGTAATTTTTACGTTCTCTAGTCGGCAACCCTGCTATCGTTTCACTGTTCTGTGGAGGCGCTGTCAACATCGCTTCTGTCAACTCTCTCCGTGCTTAACTGCACTTGCACACTTGGCTTTGACTTGGCTTTGACCGTCCGACTGTCACCGTCAAAAATCCTTGCTTCGAGAAACTGCAATTATAAAAATCTTGCTGTATAATTTGAATCAGCTGCTATTTCGAAGTTACAGGTAAAAATGAGATATTAACTTTTTTGATTCGTTATTATTACTGCGTATTTTTAGGGTAGAGTTTTGATGTGCCACCCTAACTTGTATTTGTATTTTTCTGGCACGTTGGCGTCCTTTTCTTCTTTTGTCCTCCCAGAATGTCACATGGAAGAAAGGACATGTTCTTTATTATTTAGTGAGCCCTCGGAGGTAATTCGAGGTAGGTTCATTTTGTTTATTAGACCTTGTTTGATTTTAAACCAGAGTTTCGTATTTTTAGGGTCAAGGTACGGACTATTTACAAGGTACGGGCATTATCCAAGGTCCGGGTAGTGTTCCCTGTACCGTTGTCTTATGGACGGACTGTGTCCAAGGTTATGGTCCAAGCTTATGGCCTAGGTTACGGACATTATCCATGGTCCTAGTAGTGTTCCAAGGTAGGTAGTGTCCCCATATTACCACAGTATGGATACAGCGGTAAGCCCCATGCTGCTTCGCTCCCATTTCTAAGCCTAGTCAGTAGCTACGGCTGTAGTGATTCATGATGTCCTCTATTCTGGCCCCTTTTGTTGTTTTGGCCAACAGGATCGCCGACAGACAGTGCAGAGACATGAGCCCACCTCACGCTGCTACTTTTCGAAACAGGATGGCCTCAAGAACAGCTAAGTGTAGATTTAGGTTCTGGTTTTCAGTCGATTTTCAGTCTTAACTTAACGTACATTTTAAATAATATCGTACAGACTTTAGTGGTCAGATTATTAAGAACATTTATGTCGATTTAGTAGTTACAATATGATTTAGATTTTAGGTTTCATTACTTATTATTAGAAGTAACTTGTTCAGTGTCTATGACTCATCCGTCTGGCGTCACGGCTGATGACGTCATATGTCTGGCGCCAGAATTCTTGGAATTCAGTGTCTGGACCGGAAGTGGCTGTCTAGCCCAAATGGCCCAATGACTACTCCGTTTTAAGTGTCTAATGACTGGGGTAGTATAATATTTCTATAATTAGTGTTAAATTTTGACATGTTTTATGTCAATTTTTAGTAAATTACGTCTAGAGATTGACCGCGTCAAAATTACATTTTCCATTGACACTTTTTTTCCAATCGTACGGCATTTCTCTTTCTTACACATTGTTTAATAATGCTAATAAATTACAAGTTTATTTAAACAATTTGAAGTATTAATTTACTGTTTATAACTTCAAAACTTCATGCTTATAATAAGTTTACACTCATTAAACGGATTTGTATATTTTTATTAGTAAAAATTTCAATTTTGCGATAAATCGCTGATCGATATCGAATTCCACATTCAATCTAGCCGCCCTGGTATTAACAACAGACTAACAATTTCCTCTAGATCAAAGGTTGCATTATGGAATAATTAATTTTCTATAGAGCGCATATATAAGCGAACACGTGTATAACAATCACTTTCAAGTTGATATATTTATATGAAACCCCAGAGTCTAGAGTTTGGTTTAAATTTTCCCGTTCAATATTAATAGCAATTATTGTTTAACAGGTTATAAAGTTTATTATAAACCAATATACAGGGTGATGACAATGAACGAGAAAACTAAAAAGAATATAAGTACTTTTAAAATCTTTGTAAATCTAATGAAAGAAAACATTCATGTTTTACGACAAAAATGCGACAAATCCAATACATTTCTGCGACATTTTTGTCTCATTTTTGTTTTGTTTCAAAATTCGGAGACAGTGTGGATGGCGTGTGCTGCCAACAGTAGGAGACCAGTGAAATCACACATGGTTAATAAAACTCATTGGCTACAACGAAACTTTTGATTTTGTTTTCCTTGCGGTGTGGACAATTTGTCTCAAGTTTGTCTTGTCAAAATCTCCCATTTTTTGGCGCAAGTTTGTCTTGTTTTTGTCTCAAAATCGTGTTTTGTCGCCTTGGTCTGGACTAGTGATGTAAAATTTCCAGAAATATAGTTTCGGAAATATTTTCGGAAATATTTCCTGAAACATTGGAAATATATGGAAATATTGGAAATATATGAAATATTTTAAAAAATAAGAAAAACTGAAATATTTATTTATAAAAATCATAACAAAACATCGCAAAACACAAAATGCTTATACATAAACACAAATAAAGAGTTATTCTTCAAATTAAAAAATAAATTAAGGTTAAATTTGTACAAAAAAAAATTATTTTTGACACACTAGTCGAGCAAGAGGCATATCTTTATCGCTGTCATCAGCATCACACTCAATAACATCTTCTTGCCAGTCTACTTCCCCAAAATCTTCAATAGTATCGGAAATAAAAATTGATCTATTGCCGTTTCCTATTTTCTTCAGCAAGTTTTCATTGTTCGATACATAGAGTAGCTTAGCGGCTCTATCATCAGTAAGCCTGTTTCTCTTTTTTGAATGAATATGAGTGTAAACGCTAAAACTGCGTTCCGTGGCAGCCAAAGATGCTGGCATCATCAACATTCGTGAAGCTACTTGTGATAATGAAGATGAAGAACACAGTCCTTTCCACCATGAGACCGGGTTATCAAAACTACTTTTCCATATGAAGTTATTTCCAAATAACTTGCCACTTCTACAACGGTAATCTGCTATTTCATCTATTATTTCTTGCTCCTTTATATTAGTTTTTTTTGATATATTAAGCATTCTATGGCAGAAAGAATTTGGGTTTCATCAAGTTCAGAACCTTGTGATTTTGGATTTAGTAATTCTGTAGCATAATGAATGGGTTTAATAGCAAATTTTTCTCTTTTGTCAACAAACTCCAACAATTCGGATTTTTCTCTGTCGTCAAGTGAGGACAATGCAAGATTATTCGGAATTACCCTTCTAATATCGCAAAATGCTTTTACAGCAAAATGAATAGTGCAATAATCTCCTTCTACAATTTTTAACCATTTGCCAATAGGTTCAAAAATGTTAATTACGTTGGAAATTTGGGCCCAAAATACTTCGTCATCTAATATCCACTGCTTAACATTTTGTCAATCATTTGTGTTGCTTCTTGACTAACTGCAACTCCTTGTAAACTGAGCCTAGTATTGTATACACTTTTTAAATTGTTCAAAATTGAAGATCCCCGTAGAAATGCGAGGTTGCAAATAAGTTGGTGAATCCTCAAACTCGATATATTCACCATATTATATGGTTGTAAAACTGTTCTATAGTAAGTTTAATGTTTATTGGGTTACAAAATATGAAAAATATATTAATAAACATCGGGTTTGAATCGTTAATGACAAGATTTAAGTATTTTTAAAAATATTTCCAATACTCCTAATATTTCCGAGACACGTTTGGAAATTTCCAATATTTCCATTTACAACACTAGTCTGGACCCAGCTTAATATGTAAAAATGTGTTTTTGTTGATAATATTCTTGTTCATAATGACGAGATATAAGGCCTTTTTTTAGAAACTTTTATAGTTATACTTTTATATTTTCGATTAACACAACGTTTCGGTCAATAAGGCTTTAATAACTTTGGTGCCACTTCTTTTGTCAATCTCATGAACTGGAAATGTCCGTTGAGATTACATTCTCCTGTTAATCGATCCACTACAGTTTTGACAGTTTTCTTATTAATTGTTCATCAGGTTATTGCAGTCTATATTTGATTTATTCTTGTACTGCATAAAACAGAAGCGTGCATATGCTGTTAAATATTTCAAAATACTTTTTTAAAGCTATAACTAATATCGAGGATTCTGTAAAGTATGCCGCTTGGTATTTTACATTCCAAAAAAGTTTTCTAGTTAATAACCGATCAGCTGATAACGGTCCATTAGAAGTTTTAAACCCGGCTTAAACAGATTTAAGGCCAAACTTATAATTCGCCGGATAGTTTTAGTTTTAATCTGCAAAAATAACTTTAATTCATTTTTAATCTACAGGGTGATTCCTGTGAGTCGGTCATGCTTTCGGGAAATGATAGCGGACGACGAAATATTAATTTTGATATTGTCAAGACTTAAATATAGGCACACTATGGGTCAGAGATGCCTCTTACGCAAGATACAGGGTGTTATAGTTTTAAATAACTTAAACGCCACTGATAAAAAATAAAATTTTTAGAGTTTTTTTATTTACTCGGTTTATTTCCAAGCAAAAATGTCTCTTGCAACTTTCTTCTATCT